TGCTTATGCACAGGGAGACAGCTCAGGGGGCAGGAGAGTATGGAGGGATGGTCACTGGGAAGAGGTAACTATGGGGAGGAAGTGGGAGGGGAGCTGTTGTATTGTGGTAAACTGTGGTCAATGACATGAGACAAAGTATATGTGAACTGCTGTATGCAAAGTGAATTTGCTCTGTAAATCTTCACCCAGATATAAATAAATAAATAAATAAAGGGGGAAAAAAAGGATAGTTGTAAATATAGTCCATTGTAACTCGAATAAGTTGTAAGTCAGAGACTATCCATATATCAAATAAAATTTTAATGTGTTTGATTTATTGCTGTTTTTCAAAGCACATGGTGCTAAATGGTGAAAGCAGGAAACAAGGTGTGGCATTGAAGGGAAACGCAAACTGCTGATCTCATCTGGACCTTGAGTAAGAGAAGCATAGTGCCAAAAATAAGGGAAGAACAAGACAACATCTGTGTTCAGCTCGAAACTCAAAAACCAAACTCACTGTCATCGAGTTGATTCTGACTCATAGTGACCCGTTGAGTTTCCAAGGCTGTAAATCTTTACGGAAGTAGGTCGCCTCTTCTTCCTTCCATGGAGTAGCTGGAAGGTTTGAACTGCAGATCTTCTGATTAGCAGCCAAATGCCTTATCCACTATGCCACCAGAGCTCCTCCGAACATTGCATTTTGAGAGAGATGTTTACAAACTAGAGCTTTGTTGTGAAGGCAAAGGCTTGTGATTTCAGCAATGTTTGAAGCAACTTATCACACTTAATTTGGAACTGAGAAATTGGTGTTGAGTGTATGGGGATGACACTAAGATGCCCCAGAACTAGGATGGTGTATTAAGAAGTATCACAATGTAATGGATCAGATTATCAAATGAAAACGTGGTTTAAGAGAATTTCTGTAAAAGTATGAGCACAGGAGTTTGGGAACTCAAATACAGTAAAGACAATTTTAGGAGAAGGAGAACAGCCAGGGAAGCAATAATACAATTGCAACAAAGTTGGAAGGGGGGGGTGGCATTTAGAATTTTGTGTAAAGAGAGAAGCTATTATCAAAAGGAAGGTATTCGGCATAAAGCCTAGAAAAAGGCAAGTGGAAAAATTGAATTAATGCATTTTTCAGAAAGAAAAGGGGAAATCATCTAGCTAGATCTGTTTGTTTTGACTTCATTCTCATCAAATAACCTTCTTATAATTTAGCTTCTATGTAGATTTTTCCATAGACAGAGCATGTAACTGCAGCACAGAAATTCGTTTGACAGTCATAATTTCCACTCTGCTCCAAGCTTTTATCCCCACCACCACCACCACCAAATTCTAGGAAATAGATATTTTCTCCATTTTTATGGATAAAGAAATTGAAGTTTGGCTGTAATTCACCCCAGTTATAATTGACTTTGCACTCCATCACAGGAGAGCCTAAAGTCACAGAAAACATGGACAGTTGAATGTATAAAAAAGTAGCAATAATTTATTACAAATACTGCAAAGAAATCAATAAGAGTATTTCTTGATTTAGTAGTCTGGGAGATTTTTTAGTTAAAAAAAGAAAAATCAGAAGCCACATTCTATTGGATTAATAAACAAGAAACTAATGAAGAAACTTAAGTGTCAAGCACAAAAAAACTTTTTAAAGAAATTTTGTTGCAAAAAAAAGGATACTGTCATGAAGTGATCACTTTCACCTCAGTCTAGTAGAATACTTCAGGCACTAGGGAATATGTCTATTCTATGGAGAATTATAGGAAAAACCAGTGCAGACTCCCCAACCACAATGGTATTCCAGAGAAACAGCTTCTCTTTAAATTGTATCAGAGTTTGAGATGAGTACCTCCTACCATAGTGCCTAAGGCACTTGACTGCTAACCAGAAGGCTGACGGTTCAAATCCACCAGCCACTCCTCAGAAGGAAGGCTAGGCAATCTACCTCCGTAGTGATATTGCCTCAGCAACCCAAGGAAGGATCACTATGAGTCAGGTCCGACTCGATGGCACACAACAACAACTCATTCCTTCTGTGAGTGGCAATTTTGGTTCCAAACAAATGGATTTCTTACAGTCTATTTGCTTTTTAGGAGCCTGGTGGCACAGTGGTTAAGCTCTTGGCTGCTAACTGAAAGGTCTGTGGTTTGAACCCACCAGACGCTCCATGGGAAGAAGATGTGGTGATCTGCTTCCATAAAGATTACAGTCTTGGACACCTTCTGGTGTCTGGGCAGTGTTCTACTCTAGCCTATAGGGTCACTAGGAGTCAGGATTGATGCAATGGCACAGCGCTATATTTGCTTTCTGTCCCTGGTGGTTCAAATGGTTAAGTTGCCGATTATTAAGCAGAAGGTTGGTGGTTCAGGTCCAATCAGAGTTGCCTCAAAAGAAAGGCTTGGTGCTGTACTTCCAAAAATGAACCACTGAAAACCCTACAGAGCATAGTTCTTTGAACCACACAGGGTCACCATGTGTCAGAATCAGCTCGATGACAACTGTATTTTTTTTTTTCATTTGCCTTTTACTTTCAGAATATATCAATCATTACGAAAGCCAGTGGGAAAAATACAATTCCATTTACAATGTTTTAAAAATCACCTTTGTGGAACGTATCTGTTTCATTAACTGACAATTTACTAACAAACTCTAGGAAAGACGACATATGTTTACATGTGAAATGATTAAATGAATTTTTTCTTTGTTTCAGCAATTAAACTTTCTTCCCTTAAGAGAATGTTTATTTCTCTTAGTGCTCATAATGTTTTAATATGAGCTTACCTCGTACTGAGAAAATTTATATTTTAGATCTGAGGTTTCAACTATGGGTCTTTCTTAGTGAATTTAAATGCAAGAGAATGCTCAGTCCAGAATATAAAGATCAGTTTAATGTTTCCAAAGTACCAGAAGCCTCTGCTGTAGTTAGAAAAAAAAATGTATACTTCAATAGAATTTACAGCAGGGCCTGTAAGAACTGTGCATAGTTTAAAGTACATTTCATAGTTTTAATGCTGCCA